CCATGGGCTGGAAGTTTGCATGGCTGGTGCCCACTACTAAACCCTTTGCATGGGCCCCTCTGACCCACGCTGTCCTCTGCCCTTGTCCCTGCCAGACTGTCAGCGGGAAAGCAGCCTCTCTTCCTGGAGACACATCATGGCAAGCGTTAACTCAGTGACACTGCCGACACTGGGCTGGTGTCACCCTGCTGTTCCCATCCCTTCATACCTTCCCCTTCTCCAGTTCACCAAAACCGAGCAACTTATTTTGGGGGCCAGAACTACCTCTGCTCCTGTGTGGAGATATGCCTTCCCACCTCCACCCTCCCACCTCTGTCCATCTCCTTGCTCGAGGTCAAAGAGGTGATGATGGGCTCTCTGACCCTATGCAGCACAAGTTGCTGGCCTTAACTTGTGCAATATCAAGGCCACAGGCCAGGACAGAGCAGCTGGCACAAGAAAGTGGCCCTTAGCAACCGTAATAGGCTGGAAAACCTAGAAACCCTCCAGAACTGCTTGGAAACCCTCCATAGCTGCCCAGAAGAAAATCCTTCCTAAGGGTCTGCTAAGACAAGAACTATGAAATTTAAGTTATAATTGTGATAGAAGGATGAAATTCAAGTTTGCCCCACAACTATATTTGTGCTGTGGCTGGCCATTGGGGCTGTGTCCATGTGCACAGCCAGCACACTGTAATCTCTCATTCCCATGGTGGTCCAGGTACTCCCCAGCTCACTTCTGCAGTTGTGAGGCAATGGACCAATTAGAGTGGAGATGGCAGACAGATCTTCCAGCCACCCTCAGAAGAAAACATTTGACTAGTTATTACAGGAGCTTCAGGACAGGCCTGAAGATCCCCTAGAAGATACTGCTGTGCCTAACCCAACAGATAGGCACCACCTGCATGTCTTCATGTGCAGACTAACAGCCTGGGGAGAGGATCTGGGCATCCCAGAGGCCACCCAGGTGGTTCCCACTGCAGAACTGACCAAACTATGCAGATACTTTGTAATAGTAGAAACAGTTCCTGGAGATATAGAAATGGTCAGGAAGGACAGTCTTCTGTACATAGTTAAGATAGTTATGAGTTGTTTTGTACATAGTTAAAATAATCGATAGCAGCAGATTGTGCATGTGCTGGAGTGCTCATGTAAGACTAGATGGGTTTTAAGTATGGGTAGTCTCACCTGATTCAGCTGGAGATGCTGCTGCACAGACCCTTGCAATGGATACTTCTGTCACCATCTGGACAGTAACTAATTGTCCTGTTCAAGAGATTTGATCCTTCAGGTGAGTGTTACCTTATGCAAAGATATCAGTAATTTTTTTTTTTTTAACCAAACACTGTTTTCTACTCTGCATCCTCTAGTTTTAGAATAATGACTCCTGGAAAACAAAAGCCTGTGTGGTAATGGAGTTTGTATCAATAATCTCTTCTTCTCTTGCCTCTGGAAAGGACAAATCTTAATTTCACATGGAAGATGTCAAATGGGGTTGCTCCGGTTGCTCATGCATGCTGTACAGCCTCCAGGTTAGGGATTAAAAGATGCCAAGCAGACCAAGCCCTGAGTTACATGGTCTGAATTCAGCGCTGACCCTGCACTGAGCAAGAGGTTGGACTGGAGATCTTGTGAGTCCCCTGCCAACCTTCTGTGCCATGAAGGACTCTTAAGTTTGTCTTTTGGCTGTGAAAGAATAGCCAAAGGTCAGTGCTAGGCCAAAAAAAGGAGCTCATCTTTTTTTTTAGTGCTTCATTAAATAAGGTTTGCAAAGTCCTGCACTGAGGAAAGTGTTTTGCCATCCCTTCAGCACGTGTCTCACCCTGAGCATTTCCAGTCAGGAGGGTTTTGCTTTCTGACTGCAGGTTTTGAGCAGATAAATGGATTTAATGCACCAAAAGAAGGCGAACTGTGCAAAAGCCAGTGCCGGCAGGATGTACTTTCCAGCGGATGAAAGCATAGGGAGACCATGTAATTGTTTTGTGCTATTAGAGCCAAAAAGCCACGAGAGACAAATGGAAGTGGCCTCTTCACACCAAAATAAGGTTGTGCAAATTGTCAGACAGAGAAGAAGAAACACATGGGAACTGAAGACAGAAAGCCAAGCGACAAGAAAAATAACAAAACAGCAAGCAAGCCTGTAGGCCTGCCAAAAACCTGCCCGCGGGCTAGAGG